AAGCAAACCACTTGAAGAGATAATAATGAAAAACTGGTGCAGACTGAGGTCATCAACCTAGATCAAACTTTGGGGAGTCTAGCAACAGTTAGTTTACTCCCAATGTATTTAAACCCAGTTTAATTTGGAAAAATAGTTTCCTGGTATAAAACAATCCCCTTTGCACAAGGAAGTAATTACATTGAAACTCAACTCAGGGCACATTTCTTCCAAGAAGATGGGTTCTGGAGATACACTACCGGTACTCGCTTAAGGGTCTAAGGGTCTGGTGTGATCTCAGATATACAGAGCATAGAGGTCATTTGAGCTATTAGTCACTGCTGGTCCCAGTTGTGGGACTTGGGGGAGCCTGTGGCTATCAGGGTCATTTAGATTACTAGTCACCTCCAGGCCTGGTTGCAAGAGCTTAATATGGTCTGGACCAACAGATAACACAGATCACCAGGCTGTTTAGCACTCTCAGTTTTCAGCTTTCTGGGTGGAAGAACAGGTTTTCCGTCTTTCCATTGAAAGACAATCGTGTGATTAACATTCCTGCTTTCTCTGGGCGTTCCTGCTGAGCTCCCAACACATATTTTGTTCCAGAGCTTTGCATACATCAAGGGGAAAAAAAAAGAATTGTAAAGTGCTATTGGTGGTACAAAAAAAAAAAACAGGAAGAAGCAAATATAACAATAACTATAAAAAGATTGCAGGCAGCTACATTTCTAGAATTTGGAGAAAAAAGTCCTCATCTTTTAAAAATGACTTATTTATTTTTATTTATGTATATGTCTATGAGCTTGCATGAGTATTTGTGTGTGTGCAGGTGTCCATGGAGGTCAGAAGAGGATGTGCAATCCCTCGGAACTAGAGCTACAGGTGGCTGTGAGCCACCATATGGGCATGGGCACTGGGAATGGAACTCTTGAGTTTCTGCAAGAGCAGAAAGAGCTTTTGAGAGCTGAGCCATCTCTCCAGCCCCACTGTCTCCTCTCTAAGGGCTAAAATCAGTACTGGGAGTATAGACCATGAAGGAGGGATTCATATGTCTAAAGTTCTTCCTAGTCATTATGTAGTCGAGGTGTCCTAAAACTCATGCCATCCTCCTGTCTCTGCTTCCTGGGCCCCGGATTTATAGGCATGAGTTCTATATTTCCAGCTTCCTGGGAAAAGTTCCACCTGGTGGTCTGGACACACAATGTATTGACTTACTTCCAAAGCCTACTGTTGATGTCAGGAAGTATTCGTTAGCCCCCAGCATAGTACTCTGGAACTTCTGTCAGTAAATGATCCAGACATGGGGACTTGCAATTTGGGACTGGATTTAAAGTCTTGCCTCCCCCTCATCCAGTTCTCTTTACCCAACAAGTTACCTGAACTTCATGCTGTCTTCATTGTTACTTTATTCACTCTATTTTAAAACAAAGGTTCTGTGGGGAGGGAGGGACAAGAAGAAAGGGCAAAAATATTGAAAAGACATCTCATTGGCTGATGGTTGCCTTTGACTTCTGTGGGCATAGATGGGTAAGAAGACAGCCCTACAGCAGTATCACACCCTGCACACAACAGGTCGGGTGGGAATGGAGTATCGGATGCTAGGAAGGTTGAGGTGAGTTGGGAGACAAGGAGACAAGTTGGGAGTGAAAGGAAGACAAAGAGACCAAGGGAGACTAGTTGTTCTTGGGAACTCTGCCCACTCTCACTCCTGTAGGATGGGCTTCTCTGAGTGAGCTGGGAATGGTTTGTGTCCTGTGCAATCAGAAATGGCCCCTGGATTCCCATGGCTGTCACATTTCTGCACAGTTCTCAGTTGAGCAAAGCATTGAAGGTTGTTAGCACATCTCCCTTTGGAGTTGAAACTGGGCTCAGCACCAGCAAGCACACTCCAGAGATTTGTCTGTCCTCCATGCTTGGCTAACAGCTATTCCCTGGTGCCCAGGCAAGAATTAAGTTGAGTGTGTGCCGTGCACTCTGTTACATACTGTGTCCCAACAGCTGGCTCATTAATGCAATTTAGAAGAAAGAGAGAACTGGCTGTTCACCATTATATCTAAGGGATTTGTAATAAATCTCTCAATAAGGAGGTATAAAAATTCCCTGTTCCTGTGCAGCCAAAGGAAGCAGAGCATTAGGTAGAAGCCAGTGAGCCTCATTAGCTACAGGATCCAATGCTGAAGGTCTAGGGGGACTCGCCCCACATTTCTATCAGTAATAGCTTTGCTTTTACCTGAAATATGCTGGTAATTTTCTCACTTGTGAAATTCAGTTCACCTAAAGACTAATAAATATACTGTTTCCTAAGCTTTAACGGAATCTCTTCCATGCTCTGGAGGCTACTAACAATAAAGCATCATTTGTTACTGGTTTTTCATTTGTTCGCTCTTACTTCTGAGACAGTGGGATACAGTCAGTAGAGAATAACTTCTTAGAAGAAGGAAGTAATATGACCAACTGTTCCATATAATTTTGTTATACATATGTATGTTTCTCTCTGTGTGTGTTTATGTCTCTCTGTGTGTATGTATGAAATGCTTGCTCGAAAGTTCCATCCAGTAGAGAGCTGTTAACGATGAAATAGTATGAATAATAGGGTTCTGGTGTGATAGTGAAGAGAAAGGTTCTCAGGGTGAGAATGACGGCCTGCAGCCAGAGGGTTACAGATGCTCACTGGCCACCTGTCTAGACAGTGAGAGTCTGTTTCAAGGTTCCAACCTCTGGGCACAAATAGGCAAATGTGCTCCCCCAAAACACACACACACACACACACACTTACATGCTGTGTGTTTGTGGGTGCTCTGTTCTGGTGTTTTGCCCTAGTCCTGGTGCCTTCTGGTTAAATACAAGGGACAGTGAGTACAATTATTTGTTAAGGTAATTTTATTTTGAAATCAAGATAAGTTAAAATAAAACAAGTGTTTAAGAACAATCAGATTATGGAAGATCAAAATTAAGGTTCCAGTCATTTACAAATTAGTATGTAATTAATTACATAATAGCATTGTATAGTCAAAGATATACACATATAATTTACAGATATATTCCTTTACATTTTATTTGTCATATTTTAAACAAATAGGAAGGGAAAGCCTATTTTCCTAGTTTCACCAAAATAGTTGAGGTGATTATAGAAAACAGTGATACACTGTATATTGAGAAAGGTACAAGAGATTTTCTGTTTTGTTGAATTCCATGTGTATTCATTACACACGGTACTGCTACATACAGGGATTTTCATACCAGCATATACTGACCGTTGAGCACACACACTTTGTGCATCCTTATGCCTTCTTTCTCAGCCCTCCCCACATTAGTCTCCTTTGTTCCCCGATTCAGTATTGCCTCTACTCGCATGCCATGTGTGTGCATATTATGTGTTGGATTAAAATCTAGGAACACAAAGGAGAGAGGATGTGCTGTTTGTGTTTTGGAGACTGGCTTAATCACCTGCCTGTGATTATCTCTAGTTGGATTTGTTTTCCTGCAGATGACAGAAGTTCATTCTTCCTTATGGCTGAAGGAGTTCCATTGTGTATGCCCACCGCATGTTACTTAACCATCACCGTGCTGTTGGGCACCTAGGTCAACTTCATGATGTCTGTTGTGTACAGTGCTTGCAGTGTACACTGTGCAAAGTGTTTCTGTCATGTGTTGACTTAGGGACCTTTAGGTAAATACCCAGGAGTGGTATAGTTGGGTCATTTGGTAGATGTGTTTTAAAGGTTTTTAGAAACCATAGTGGCTATACATTATTGCTTTGGTGTACAAAGGTTCCATTATGTCTATGTATTTACTAGCATTTGCTGTTGTTTTCTTAATGGCTGACATTCAGGGTGGAATGAGATGGAATCATGATGTATTTTTAATTTACATTTCTCTGATGGCTAGTGTACTTAAAGCTTTTTAGTTTATTGGCCATTTGTATTTCATCTTTTGAGAGCTGTCTGTCATTTCATTATTCTACCAATCCATGAGCATGAAAGGTTGTTCTATCTTCTAGTATTTTCTTCAGTTTTTCAGCATTTTAGATTTTTCATTGTGAGATCCCTTACTTCATCAGGTTTACTTCCAGGATGTTTGTTTCCTTGTTTGTTTTGAGGCCACCATAAATAATATTGTTTCCCTATTTCTCTCTCTGAATATTTATTGTTATTAATATTATCTATTAATGTTGTATCATGCCATTTTGCTGAGAAAAACACTATCAGTCTAAAAATTTTCTGGTGGAACCTTTAGGGGATCGTCTGAACAAAATGCCATCATGTACAGATGAGGTTGTTTTGACTGTTCCCTTTCATACTCATATCCCTCTTATTTCCTTCTCAGTTACAGTGTTTGAACTAAGACTTCAGGAGCTACACTGAATACGAGCTGTTCTCCATTGAGCACAATGGTGCCTGTGGGTTGCTGTCTGCAGCCTTTACTGTGTTGAGACATGCTTCTGCTAGTTCTAGTCTTTCCAGGCTTTTATTATGATGGAGTCAGGAAGTGATTGTTATTCTTCACTGATATACCTATCCTGACATTCCTGAGCTCAGCGCAGTGTCCCTATACCCTTCCACATTCCAATGGAATGAATAAAATGGATAAACATCCTATAAGAGACACTTATGCCCCCTTCTGTTCACATTTATTATGATAGCCTCTGGCAGCCATCTTTGTTTTTTCCAGAGGTTTGAGTTTATTTCCTCCTGAATAGCTTCCCTAAAATGAAATTACTAGATCAAAATGTAATGAATATTTTAAAGCTCTGATTTCTAAGCATATTTCTAAGTAGCTTTCTAAAGAGTTATTAATTTACCTTACACCAGCAATATGTGAGAATTGTAGTATTACCCTAGGCTTAACAAGCTGCTAATAAGATTACATTACTTTCATTTTTGTTGATTTCATTCCCTGCAGGCTAGAAAGTTCTGCAAGTATTTATTTGTAATGTATTCGTGCTCGAGTTTCTTAGCTGTTGTCGTCTTATCAGTTGAGTAGTCTCAACTCTGACTTTCTCCCTTTATTGCTTTATTCAGGTTCCCATGATTCATTCAGCTACTGGGTAGATGAAAAGTCCCCAGTGGGGCCTGACCAAACCCAAGCTGTCAAACGTCTTGCCCGTATCTCCTTGGTAAAGAAACTAATGAAGAAATGGTCTGTAACTCAGAACCTGACCTTCCGGGAGCAGCTGGAGGCTGGGATCCGCTACTTTGACCTACGTGTGTCCTCCAAGCCAGGGGACACTGACCAGGAGATCTACTTCATCCACGGGCTCTTTGGCATCAAGGTTTGGGATGGATTGATGGAGATTGATGCATTCCTCAGTCAGCACCCTCAAGAGATCATCTTCCTGGATTTCAACCACTTCTATGCCATGGATGAGGCCCACCACAAATGCCTGGTTCTGCGGATCCAGGAGGCCTTTGGGAACAAGCTGTGCCCAGCCTGCAGTGTGGAGAGCATGACACTGCGAAGCCTGTGGGAGAAGAAGTACCAGGTAAGAGGGAAGGAGTAATGTGCTTCTGAGAGCAAGAACTCAACTCCCTGCTTTCCTTAGGGTGCCACCTGTAAAATAGCTCAACCCAAGGCTTAGGGGCTGGATAGATAGATTGGTTGATGTACTGAGCATGTGTAGAATAGTACCTGGACTCTGGGATAGCTACAAGAGATTCACTGGGCTTGGTGGAAATGGGAATAACGTTTGGTGTCTTAGTTACTTTTGTATTGCTGTGATAAAACACCATGACCAAGAAAGTGATGAAAGAAAGCATTTACTTGACTTATGGATTCAAAGGACTAGGGTCAGTGACAGCAAAGCAAAGGAACAACTGAGAACTCACATCTTGGTCCACAACCATGAGAGAGAGAACGAAAGCACTAAGAATGATGCTTTAGTGCAACTTTAGTGAACGCTTCCTCCAACAAGTTCACACCTCCTAATCATCCCAAATATTGCCACCAACTGAGGACCAATAACTCAACTCTATGAGCCTACATGAGTCATTCTTATTTTGACTACAACATTCCATTCCCTGGTCCTCAGAGGCCTATAGCCACATCATAGTGCAAAATACATTTGATCCAAATTCAAAAGCTCCCATATTCTTTCACAGTCTCAACAGTTTAAAAGTCTGAAGTCTCTTCTGTGACTTAAGGCAATTTCTTAACTATAGCCCTGTAAAATCAAAAGCAAGAAGCAAAATTACATACTTCCAGCATGCAATGGCACAGAATGTACTTGGCTATTCACAGAGGTTGGGAAAGAAGCATAGTGAAGAAACACTGAACTAAAGCAAGACTAAAACCTAGCAGAGAAAACTCCTACAGCTTCATGTCCAATGTCAAAGGGCTTACATGATTCTGACCTTGCAGCTTTGCTGCTTGCAATATACTTTTCTCTCTTGTGAGCTGGTTCCCCCCCCCCATTTTGTATGCAGCCCTCTTTGGCAGACATCCCATGACTCTGGCACCTCTAACACTTTTGTGTCTCTAACACAATCCAGGCTTCACTTTCACAGCTTTGACCTCTCAGGGCCTTCTTCCTTCAGAGACTCCCCCATCTCATGCCTGGCTTTAATGGCTCTACTTCACCACTGAGGAAGATTCCATAACCCCTTCTTCCTGCTTCTTTCATGACTGTAAAGCTAGAACCATAGGGATGACACTGCCAAGTTTGACTACCAACTTAGCACCCTGGAATCATATTTGTAGCAGCTTTGATTTGTTGCTGCTACTTTGGAGCAGAAAATTCCTTTTTAACAAGTTGAAAGCTCATCTGGGTGAAATCTCACCCTGGAGGTTCCCCTCCCTTTATCCCATTTCAGATCAAGCCTCTCTTTAATCCTCTTATATCTTTCAGCACAAGTCTTGGCTCTAACATTCGATCTCCTGGTACTCCTTTTCCTCTTTAAGCTGTATATTTTATATTTAAATTCTCTTTGCCCCCCCTGCTCGTTTTCATTGTAGACCTGTATAAACATGATAACTCTATTCGCGTGATAACCACATGACAGAGTCACTGTTAAGCTGTCTTGAAATATCCTCTGCCAAGGAAATTAGTTCGTTAACCAGTTTAACTTTAGGAAAATTCACAAGACAAAGACAAAGACAAAAACAGCCACATTCTTGCCATAATATGACAACTGGGGTTCTAGCCTAGTTGTTAATATTGTTGCCCTCTAAAACCTCTTGAACAGGGACATACATTTCCACCAACTGGGGACCAAATATTCAAATATATGAGCACATTGGGGGGGCATTCTCATTCAAACCACCACACTTGTCAAATAAAGTTCATCTGCAGTCCATTTGACATCGGAATTTATTTTTAATGACTTGGCTATTATCAACCCAAGGCCAAGTTGTGAAATAAACCAGTTGGTCAGTAAAGCATTATTCTGTCTCTTCTAACATCTGCTTAATACCCTCTATCTATGTTCCCCCAGTAAAGATGAGACTCCAAACCTACACCCCTGAGGAACACACTCAGTAAAAGGATAGGCCTCAGAGGCAGTCCATTCTCCTCCCAGAATATGGTAGCAGCCAAGAAGAGCTTCAGGAAAGGCCAATCTCTGATTTAAACTTTCCTTGAGAAAAATAAGAAGTACGCATCCATTCATAGTTGTTTCAGTCCCGTTAAGTACAATAAGAAAAAGCATTTGTGTGTATGTCTTGTTTCTTTATGTTGGAGAAGGACCTCAGATCTTTTGTACATACTAGACAAGCTGCTCTACAACTAGGCAAGTGCCAAATCCCTGACCTTATGAAAAATTTATTAAAGAAGTATTTTGGGGGGGCTAGAGAGATGTCTGAGCAGTTAAAAGCACTTGTTCTACAATCAAAAGGACAGGTGTTCTGACCCCAGCACCGGCATAAGAAGCTAAATGTTCCCATAGATGGCTATAACTCCAGCTCCATGTTCAGGTGGGTTACTGAAACTTGTGAGCTTCCAGCTTAGGCAAGAAAATGTGTGTCTCAGGTTCAGGGAGAGACTCTCTCTCAAAGGAATGGTGAAGAGTGACAGAGGACTCCTGCTCTCCTCTGGCCTCAGTGTGCATGTAAAGCTCACATGTACGTAGCACTCATAGGCATGTGCACACGTGCGCACGCGCACACACACACACACACACACACAAAATAAAAAATTTAAAAAGAAACAGTAAACTCAAAGAGGAACCTCATGTTGTAAATAACCTCAGTTATCTGTTTATAAACTTTTGTTGAGCACCAAGTTTATTACATCTGTCCTCCCATACCTAAGTTAAATACTCTTAGATTCACAGGTTTAATTTTGTTTATTTATTTGTCATGAGGTCTCACTATGGTGTACTCTAGGCCTGCCCAGAACTCTTGAAATATCATCTCAGTTTTATTATTATACCATAATGTGGTAGATTAACTTGTTTGACTTCCTCAACAACACTAGGAGATAAGCATTTGCTATTTTGTATGCCTCACCTCCCATCCCAGAGCTGAAGACCGAACCCAGGACCTTGTATTTGCTATGCAAACACTCTACCACTAAGCTTAACCCCCAACCCTGAGATAGGCACTTGTTATTCATCCCCATCCCCACTTTACAGATGGCAAAACTGAGGGATGGAGAGACTGAAGCAACTGGCCAAGGCAGCACTGTGAGTGAGGGGTGTGGGGCTGGTTCCTCTCTGGTATTCCCATAGCTCCTGCTGCTCTCCCGGGTCACAGGACTTGAAGGTTTCACAACTGCTTTCTTGTGTTGTGAAAGAAAGACACTTTCTTTTCATTAGGAACCTATCCTCAAAGGGCCCCAGACTGTTTCCATTGAGAAAAGGGAGATGGTGTTTGAATGTGGGGATCAGGTGAGGAGGTTAAGTATGAGGTTGGATAGCACCATGTAATTTGGTACCCAGAGGACATTCTACATGGCTGGCAGATATAAACAGGAAGGTCCTTGAAAGTCATTGATCAGCCAGCCTGGATCAATAGAGCTTTCCATTCACCAAGAAACTCTGTCCCCCAAAATAAGGGAACAGAAGAAGGTTCGGCACATAAGGAACTTGCTGCCAACCTTGACAACATGAGTTTTAGCCCAGGACCACACAGGATGGAAATAAAAAACTGAACTCTTAATGCTCTCCTCTGACCTCTACATAAAAAAAGGTGAGAGGCTATCAGGGAAAGATACCCAGTGTCAACCTCTAGTCTCCACACATGTGCACACTCAGGCATGCTCATCTGCATGCACACAAGCAAATACCCACACTAACGAGTACATATACCATACACCACACACACACACACACACACACACACACACACACACACACAAGTGAGAGACAGAAGGGGGTGGTAATTTAACTGCATTGTCCACTACAAATACTCTTAAGGTTATGGGGGAAAGACACTGGAATGATATATTAGAAAAAGGGAAAAAGTTGCCATTTAAGTTCTATGACTTCCCCTGATTCCTGTTTGTCCTGTATGTCTCTTTTTAACAGCTGAGAAAGAAGAGCACTCAAAGACAGTCACCAGTCATCGTCCCCATGCTGGGGCTGTGTCACACTTGTGGTCAGGCTTTAAATATTCATCATATAATGAGCTGCCTTGCACACACCACCACCCCTCCCCCCGCCCCGGGTGTTTCATTACTGGAATTTAATATCAGGAAGTGCTCTACCACCAGTCACATTTCATTTACTCAACATGCAATTATGCCACAGCTCACAGATTATATCTGCATACTTTAGTAGATAAGGTTTTAAGGGCACAGTGAATTAAAGGAGTTAGCCTACAGTTTGGAAGTGTTTGGGATCTTAACGAGAAGGGAGGAAATACACAACTCTAGTAAAATACCAAACAATCAAGCTGGACATGGAGGTGCACGCCTGTAATCCCAGCTCGTGTGCTGAGAAAAGCTCTGAGTTCCAGCTACATTGCAAGTTCCAGCCCAGAGAGGGCAATATAGCAAGACCTGTCTCAAAATCCCAAACACAAAGCGCAGCAACAGGGTCAGGGGTTAAAAGCACTTGCTGTGAAAATCTGGAGACCCAAGTTCAACTCCTGAAACCCATAGTAGGAGAGAGCCAACTCCTAGACGTTATATTCTGATGTCCACATGTATACCATGCACACACCTGCAGACAGTAATAATAGTAAGTACTAAACATAAGTTATCAATCCAAGATAATAATAAACAAAAGGGATCAATATGAAATTGCACAATAAGATTGCATCACACACCTTTAACCAATAATAATATTCCTAAAGATAATTTATCAATCCAAGATAATAATAAACAAAAAAGGATCAGTATGCAATTGTAGAATAAGATCATGTCCGGCATTCTGTATGGTGTAAAGAAAGGGGTTTTGAATAGGTTGAGAAGCAGAGCACACCATGAAATCTGCATCCCAGAGGCTCCCAGGAAAGCAACCGCCACAGTAAGAAGGAGGTCACCCAAGGGACTGTTCTTAAAAGAAATGAGATTTTCCATTTTAGTCTCAAGAGAAAAACTGAACATGAACTGCTGAGCTGGAGGGGAAACATTTCAAAGAAAAACAGTACAGGGAGATGGGGAGGGAGAGATGGAGGGAGGTTGTCTGAGCTTCTCTGATCGAGCTCAACAGAGTGTCCCTGCACCTGTGTTCTGCAACCTGGGCCTTGGGTGTAGGTTTGCCAGCCAGCCAGCCACCCCCCACCCCATCAGCAGAGATTTCCCAAAACCCTCAGATCAGACTGCCCAAGAAGCCCCCTCCCCAGAGTATGAGAAGAACAGAAAGCCCCTTTAGTTTAATTTGTACTAAATACACATTTTCTGAGGCAGAGTAAAGTTGTTACTGTCTTCTAGTGCAAGGATGCAGGCCCAGGGGCAGGTGTCCTGGCTACCACCTGAGGAGCCTGTCACAGGGCTTCCCAGCCTCCTGTCCACCCCCTACCCCCAGCCCACCACCCACGGCAGCTCTCCTTATGGGCTTCAGCCTTCTAAACCAGCTAGTTACAATGCCAGGGGGAGATCTTTGGCTCTCCCCAGCAATCTGCTTACAGTGAGCCTGTGATTAACCTCATTAACACACGAGGTTACTACAGTCATCATTCGTGCCCAGCATTACTCAGGACCATTAGGAACCAACCAAGAAGGTAGACATTACCCTCTTTGCAGCCCCCTGCCTGGTACTCCCTGCCTCCAGGCTTTCAAAACGTCAATCGCCTGTGTCATCACCTGAACACACTGGAAATGAGATGAGCATATGGAACCCCTGCTCCCGAGTGCCTGCTGGACAACTCTGAGGATTCCAGTCCCAGTGTAAACATGAGTGGGCTATTCCTCTGGGGAAGACCTCACCCATGCTCCTAAGGGGAGAAATGCTGCTCTTCTAGAAAGCCACAGAACAGCGTTCACAATTGGGACAATCAGAAGAGCAATTGTGTCCCTCAGCTCCTCCCAGAAACTAATTAATGCTGTGGATATAGGTTACTAATTATTTTCCAAATTACCACCATCTCGAATGGCCCCACTGGAGGCCCATGGCCTCGGTAAAGTCTTCCCTGATGCTGGTGGCACATCGGTTTCCTCCTCTGGGAAGGGGAATTTCATCAGAACCAGTGCACACAATTGAAAATCTATTCCCTCACAAATGAGTTCACTGTGTTTATCTAAACTCCAAGAGCTAAGTGTCAATTCCATGAGCACAGGAAACATGATTTCTGGCCCATATATGCAGCTTCAACCTGGGATCTAGAGACTTCCTAGGGTGAGTGGTATAGAATTTAACATAGCTGTGTCTGGTTAGTTAAAACAAACAAACAAACAAAAACAACCACAACAAAAAACGACATGTTCACTTTTACTCACTTTGAGTGTAGAAGTCCACATGCCCACCAGTCACGTATGCTGGCAATAGTATCCTACTTCGGCAGGATTGGCCTTGCCTGTCAATTTTTCTCAGGGATACGGCCATGTCATGGTCTCTGCAGATTGACTTAAAATACCATTCATGCTCATCATTGACTCATAGTTAATGGATCTTATTAGACTCTATCAAAAGAATCTTATGCATTTATCATGAGACTCTACATTAGTTTCCTACAAATGTATTTGTTATGTGAATAGGTATAATTCCTTTATTTCATATCAATTCCCTTTATAATCTTGTCCACTTTGTGCATTTAAGACACAACTGTGAGAAGGTGTTCTGTGCTTTTTACTGCATGCACAGTCAAAAAGGAAGTCTTCTTTAAATTAGACAGCAGGTTCTCAGTAAATCCTTGCTTTTTTATTTTTTAAAAATAATACACAGCGACAATGAGGGGGCTCAGTGGGTAAGGCATGCCACAGTTAATGTCCTAGATCCCATTTGGTTGAAGGTGAGAACTAACTCCCAAAAGTTGCCACCCTATCCCTCTGCCATGTAAAAATAAATAAATACATCTAGTAAAAAGAAAAAGCATAGCTCTCACTTCAAAGAGAATAAGAAGTAGTTTATTTGTGAGCCAAATCAGAAAGGGCTTGGGACATAGACTCAGGTGGCCTGGGACAACATGTCCACTGTGGAAACGGTTACATGAAATTTGATTAGCCTCAAAACTAAAGAAAGCCACGAGGCAACGTATTTATCAACATTGGTAGGTAACACAAGTAGGCAAGTTATAATGGGCGAAGCTACTGTAGGTTTCAGATGCAGACTATGGACAGTTTTACGCTTGGAAGATGGTGTTCTGCTACAAATACATGGTCAAAGGTTTTAACCCTGTAGTCAAAAAGATGTTAGGCCTGGTATAGCAGTGAGCAATGAATGACTACTGAGAGGATCAAGACTTTCCCAAGATAACTCGACCCTAGACTTCAACATTCTAACTTTCCATACTCATGAAGTTATAATGTGTCATTCAGCATCGTAAAATCTTTCACAGAGATGTGGCTTTTTAAATTTCAGTTTACATGACCAATTCTACTACTTCTGATCATGCTTGTTCACGCCCCCACCTCTAACACCCCCCCCATCCATTCAAGTATTCAGCTTTTAAACATTGCTCTCCTTATTTTGCTCTGAACATTTTAGGTTCTCATTTTCTACCACTGTCCCTTCTACAAGCAATACCCATTTCTGTGGCCGGGAAAGAAAATTCCAGCACCGTGGGCAAACACCACAAGTGTACACAAATTGATCCCCTTTTTGGAGACCACCCTGAGTGAGCGAGCTCCACGTGGGGCCTTCCATGTCTCCCAGGCCATCCTCACCCCAAGAGTGAAGACCATTGCCCGAGGCCTGGTGGGGGGCCTCAAGAACACACTAGTTCACAGGTAAGAGGTGGCTTCATGGCACAGGCAGGGTTTGTGTTATTCTTTTATTGGTGGTGGTTGGTTAATTGGTTGGTGCGGTTAGTTGACTGGTTGATTGTTTGGTTTGGGTTTCCTAAGACAGTTCCAGATGACCTTGAACTCATAATCTTCCTGCCTTTACTTTCCTGATACTGGATTTACGGGTTCTCATACCTATCCTCACCCACAGAAAAAGTCTGAAAACACACGAACACACACACACACACACACACACACACACACCGAGGTGAAAGGAGAGGGGTGTTGTGTAGATAGCTCAGTTCTTGTCTTGAAAGCATGAGGATCTGAGTTTAATTTCCAGAACCAGTGCAAAAACAATCCTGAGAACAATGAATCCCTGTGATCCCAGGATCTCAGCACTGGAGAAGCAGAAACAGCTGGATGCCTGAGGCTTACTGCCAGGAAAACCTACCTTAATTGGCAAGTTCCAAACCAGTAAGAGACTGTCTCAAACAAAATGGATGGTATCTAAAGATAGACAGCCATGGTTGTCTTCTGGCATCCCAGACAGGCATAGACACATGCACTCAAACATAAGTGCACCTGAATGTACACACACACACACACACACACACACACACACTCATTTATCTTGATTTTATTCCAAATATACAACAGTAAAACTCTGACTTTGAGCATTACAAAATGAAACAAACAAAAAAGCAACTTATAAAACATACTGTTGAAAAGCTGTGGATTCTAGGAGGATTACGTGGATAGTACCCAAAGAATCCTGGGATACTATGCTAAAATATTATTCCATAAATGCCTCACTATATTTTGATACTATGACAAGCACTGTGAGACAATGTCACTGTGTGTTATCTTTGTGACACACACCCGTGGTGATCCTGTTATTGTCCATGCAACTGGCTGAGGTACTCCCTGTTTAAGCATTAAACAAGCTGCCGTGCTCTGTGCTAGAGATTGAAAGATGTTCCTTCAGGAATTTGTTTTTTCTTCTGTAGTGACCATGAGTCTTGAGTACCATGCCACGGTCTCCAATACTCCCTTGGGACAGAATTAGGCTTCATATACCATTAAGCAAGGGTGTTCTAGTCATTTTGTATGAGATGATGGTCTTTGTCCTGGGCACCAGTGAGTGATGGATAAAGGATGTCATTATATATGTGTATATGTATACGAGGGATGTTATAGGTGCACTTGACTATAGGCTATACTTTGTGATGTAAGCCTTGGAAACTAATGTATTTATGTTTTCTAAAAATTATATTAACCAGCATCTGTTTGGTTCTTGAGTTCTCGGTGGTGACTGCAATTTGGATAGTGATATCTTTGGCCAGTCACGTAGCCAGGAACATGCTCAGTCACTCTCATTTGGTTCTGAGTTTGGAGAGTTTCAGATAATAGCCATGTACCTTGTCAGGAGTTTAAAAGGCAAGCAACAACTGTGCTCTTCCTTCCTCCTGCTAATGTTAACCACGGACAGAGCAAGAGCCTCCTTCCTACGCAGCTCTTCCAAGTCACAACCAAATTAACTGGAAACAAGGAATTCCACAGGCGGCCATGGTGCTGCACACCTTCAATTCCCAGCACTTGGAAATCTGAGGCAAGAGGGTTGTGAGTTCAAAGCTAGGAGAGGCCTGAGTAGACTATATGGTAATAATCTTTGTGTGGGGGGGGATGTAAGAGTACAGTAGAGTGAGACAGTATCTCACCCTGGAGCTGAGGCTGGCCTCAAGCTGACCAACTGCAACCCTCCTGCCTCAGTCTCCAAGAGTATTGCTGGAGTTTCTTGTCTGCCAGGTCCCACATCTGCCTTGCCCCAAATAAGCACACAGATTCTATATTAATTATAAAACTCTTGGCCAATGGCTAGGGCTTCTTACTGGCTACCTCTATCTTAACTATTAACCCATTTCTACTAACTTACGTATTTCCATATGGTCTTAGCTTACCAGTGAATGCCTAGTCCTGTTTCTCCTTTGGCAGCTACATAGTATCTTTTACTGGTGGTGCCTCACTACCTATCTTTCCCAGAATTCTCCTCATCTCCTATTCCCGCCTGTCTTCCTGCCTCTATTGGCCAAACAGTGTTTTATTCATCAACCAATAAGAGAAACATATATACAGAAGAACACCCCCATCACAGAGTGTTGGAATTATAAATGTGAGCTACCATGTTTGACTTAAAAAAAATCTTAAACAAGTGTGATATCTTTTTAAATGACCTAGAATTATAAACTTCCCTTCTCATGTATTGATGTTCATGTTCCCATTCCATTTTCCTCGTGCTTTTGGTAAATTTGTAGCTTAACATTATTTATTTTTCTATTCAATAAAATTTGCAATTTCAAGAAAAACAGAGAGTACTGAGGAAGAGGCAGATATGGAGCCACTTTTGAGTCCTGTAGCCTTTACCATGAACAGTCTTTCAACAAAAATTAGCTTGAACATTTCTTTTTATTTATTATTATTATTATTATTATTATTATTATTATTATTATTATTATTTGGTTTTTACGAGACAGGGTTTCTCTGTATTGTTTTGGAGGATGTCCGTCCAGCCCGGCCTCGAACTCACAGAGATCCACCTGCCTCTGCCTCCTGAGTGCTGGGAATAAAGGCGTGCGCCACCACTGCCCGGCAAGCCTGAACATTTCTACAGAGCATTTTATTGTGTGTGAAGACCACGCCACTGCAAATCCATGTGGGCAGTGGTCCCAAGAGACTGTTTCAGAGTAAGGATAAGTCCTTCATTATGAATAAAAGATGCCTTTTACAAATGATTGGGTATATGATGCAGAAATCCAGGTCAGCCTTTTGAGGGGGAGAAGAGGACACTATCTACTATACTTTGTCCTCATGTAAGACAGTACTCAGGGAAGCTAAGTGTTGCAATCTACAGAGCTTCCAAGAGCCAAGCATCTGTCTGGACTGAAAGGCTTTGGCCCAGATAGTATGAGCAGGGATATGAGCAGGGATGGTGCCTGTGCCTTGTTCCTTGATGTTCCCGATCCCATGATTGAGTTAGTAGTGCCTGGACCTGATCAGCTCACACTGGTCACCCCTATTAACCCGCAGTGCCACTCACTACACTTTCACACGTCTTCAGTCTGGTTGCCCATGAATCCCAGACTCTCTATTTAGTTATAATTAAGATACCAGGAGCCCAAAGGTCTCCTTGCTGATAGTGAGTAGCTACCTTGGAATCTTAGTCCTTTCTGGTCACGGGAGTATTAGGGGTATGGTCCTACATTCCTGTGCCTATACATCAACTGAAAGGAGGAACCTGGATCTGGCCAGGAATGTGTTCCCAAATGTCAATGAATCACATGACTGTCATTTTACCACTGAGTAATCATAGGCTCTCCTCCTGAGGACCAGCATCCCAAGAGGCTGTCCTTACTGGCTAACTACACAGAGGTTCTAGCCTAGCTGATCCCAAGCACTGATCAGTAGCTCAAACCCAGGGAATACTGGAGTGTCTTTCTACTGCTGGAGGTAGATTCCTCAGTGGGAAGCTAATCCCCAATTCTCAGAGGAGCTTTGGATATGACAATCTCTTCACTTTGTTTCATCATCTTAGAAATCACAATCATATACAACCCATTCAAACTGAATTTCTGTTGTAGTTTAGACTGGAAAACATGGAATTCAAATTCATAGTAGTCATAGTGAAATCCAATAAAGGTGAGTTTTCCCTAAGACTGAGAACCTAATGGCCACTGGAACTCTGGGAGGGAACAAGGACTGAGATAAGGGGCCCAAGGTAGAAGCATGTAGGATCCCTATTAAGGTCACCAAATTATGCTCCCTTCCCCAAATCCTTGAATTAAAATTCTAATACAGCCAATGTGGTTGTGCATACCTTTAGACCTAGTATTCCAGAGGCAGAGGCAGACAGATCTTTGTGAGTTTGATCCTAGCTAGGCCTATAGTGAGCCTCTGTCTCAAACAGTAACCAGTTTTCTTGTTGAACTTTCTTTTGGGGCTGCAATCCACCAATAATACACAACAGCATATTATTAATTAATAATAAGCTTGGCGTTTAGTTTAGGCTTGTTCCCAGCTAGCTCTTATAACCTAAATTAACCTGCTTCTATTAATCTACATTCTGTCACATGACTTTTTACCTCTCATTCTGTATGCCTGACTGTCTCCATGTCTCCCTGGCTTCTCTCTGGCACCTAGATTCATCCTGAGTTCCGCTCTATCCCCAGAAATCCAGCCTATTCTCTCCTGCCTAACTATTGGCAATTCAGCACTTCATTAAACCAATCACAGTGACTCACCTTCACACAACATAAACAAGTATCCTACAGCATCAAATAGAATAAAACCCAATCCTACCGCCTCTGGATGTGAGGATGTTTGGAGAAACTGCCTTTTAAAGAGGTAATGAAGTTGAAAGGCTTTTAGGGTGGGCTCTAATGAGCTCACACTGAAGTCCAAAAGAAATTTAAACCAAGAAGAGACAATAGAAGCTAAGCATTGTGGCACAAGCCTGTAAACAGATGAACAAACACTCAAGGTCATCTTGGAATGTATGCTACTATTTCCAAAAACAAACAAATGAAAACCAAAGAGACCACAGAGATCTGTGTATGCACATAAAAAAATACCGTGGGGACAGGGGACTGTGGGAAGGAGGAAATCACCATCAAATCAAGAATAAACACCTCAGAGAAAGCCCAGGCTAGCAGCATCTTAATCTTCAGCTGGCAGCCTCCAGAACAACAGAAAATGACTTCAGTTGTTTGAAGTCACTAGTGTATGTGTTGTTGCAGCAGCCCAGGTGAGCTAACGCAGTCCCCTGGGCAATGGGGTGACCCTGACTGAGCAAGTTCTGCTTCTCTTTACCACTGGCAAATAACACCTCATGGGACTAGAGTCTGAAGCTGACAATGCCTGTCACTGTGACTGGTAAAGAAATGTGGCAGCCTCAAGGTCAGAGGGAAGATTTAAATCCAGTGCCACAGCCCAGCCTTCTGTAAAGAGCTCTTTTCCTGGTCAATGTCAGTGGGTTCTACATTTCCCTTTACATCAGCCAGTTCACTTGATACTTGCCTTGAGGAAGCTTGACACATGTAACCCAAAGCTGGCACAGAACTCTTTGTCCCTGGAGACCACAGGTACTTAGCTTTTCCCAAAAGCCCCATGCACACTCCTGGAATCCTCCAACATGTGGCTCCACCAGCAGTGGTGGTGACTGTAGGGTGCCTCCAGGCTGTCAAGAAGCGTTTCCCCAGAATGACCAGGAGATGGCGGCGCAAGATTTCCAAACATAGGCACTGACAAAGGATGTTTTGAAACCATGAATGCAGCAGGCTTCCACTACCGAGTCCTTCATTTGGAGTGCTGTGAATTATTGGTCTTTGTCTCTAACAGGGTTCTGTGTTTTCAGCTTCTCTTCTCAACATTTTGTTGTGTGGTTATATTAAGGAATTTCTTACCCCTTCTCCCCAAATCTTTCTCTCTCTACTTTTTTACTTGTTTGTTTATGATCCTTTTTCTTGGCCAGATATACGACACATTCAGTAAGCAGGCATTGCTCTGAACACTTTGTATGTATGTACTATTGTTCTGTCTCTCTGATGCACCCTGTTACACAGGAAGCTAGAGCAGAGTGACAAGGAATTTTAGTAAATTGAGATCTCTAAGAGTCCCTTTTAAAAACAAAAGGACAATCGTGAGTCATGACCAACTATCAAAACAAAAAAGTAAATTAATCTTTAAGAATTTTTTTTAGCCCATGGTAGACTAGTAGTAGATCCCCTGGGTGAGAGAAGAACTTAGCTTCTTACCATAAGACAAAAAGAAAGAGGAGGTGGGAAAATGCCGCTGAGGTATTAACATCACTCTAGGAGAGCAAGAAGACAGGGTACATGGTGGCAGAAGGGAGGACAGCTTGAAAGGAGAATAGAAATGGGGGAAGTGGCAGCCAGAGAAAGCACGAGGAACAGAGGAGAGCAGGCCATGGATGTTAGCTAGAACGGATCCAACCCAAAGAATTCCCAGTCGTGCCATCAAATGTAAGTCAGTTTCCACCTTCCTTAGATGAGGATTTAGTGAGCACCGCTGTGTTCACCATGATGCAAGCCAAGATGCGGGTAGTCTTGGTTGCTCTCTTCCACTCTTCTATGGTTCCTCATACTTATGGCACACTGGGTTGAAAGTGTTGTTCATGTCATCAGCTCTGAGCCCCTGTCATATCGGAAGCCTTCTGTTTATAAAATAATCCCAGAAACTATATTCAAGAGACAGCTGATTAAGTATTAGTCTATTAAGGAGTACTGGGATAATAACCTGTGTGGGAAGTGAACCCTGAGCCTTATGTTATACCTTTTGCAAAAAATGTCTTAATTTTTCTACTGCTATGACTAGACACCATGGCCATGGCGACTCTTATAAAGGAAAACATTTAATAGGGATGACTTGCTTACAGTTTCAGAGGTTCAGTCCATTATGATCATGACAGAGAGCATGGCAACGTGCAGGCAGATGTGGTGCTGGAGTAGTAGCAGAGAGTTCTACACCTTGCAGGCAACAGGAAGTTGACTGAGGCACTGGGACGTATCCTGAGCATAGGAAACCTGAAAACCCACCCCCACAGTGATACACTTCCTATAACAAGGCCACACACACTCCAACAAAGTCACACCTCCTAATAGTGCTACTCAGATGAGATTATGGGGGCCAATTACAACTGCCAATAACTCAGAGCATACAATACAGGTGAAGCCCCTGAAGCTTTCAGAAAACGTGGGAGAAAATCTTAGTGAATTGAAAGTAGATGAGTTTCTTAAGAAAATCACAGAAATAAAAAAAATGATAGGGGATTGGAGAGGATGCTCAGGGCTTAAGAATAACTATTGGAAAGGTGGCTCAGCAGAGGACCCAGCTTCAGTTGTTAGCCTACAACTTCAGCTCCAGAATCCAACTCCATCTTCTAGATTCTGTGAACACCCCTACACACACACACACACACACACACACACACACACACACACACACACACCCTCATAAGAAAAAGAAAAATAATTGATAAATTACACTCCATCAAAATTAAGGAGTAGTTCAGGCCCATCAAAATATTTTACTTAGGAAATTAAAGAAAAGCTACAACGATGGGGGAGGTCCCTCTGTATGCTGTGAATATATGTTTCTTTCATTGGTTGATGAATAAAGCTGTTTGGCCAATGGACAGGCAGGAAGTATAGGTGGGGCTACCAGACTAGGAGAATTCTTGGAAGAGGAACGTAGTGAGTCAAGAGGGAGATACCATGTAGCTACTGGGAAGGTAGGATGCTCAGGCATTCTCTGGTAAGATAAGACCATGTGGAAATACATAGATTAATAGTTATTGGCTAATAACTAAGAGAGAGATAGCCAATAAGGAGCCTTAGCAATCAGCTAAACAGTTTATAATTAATATAAGTCTCTTTGTGTTTAGTTGGGACTGAATGGCTATGAATTGATTGGGACAGAAACCTCCATCCACAGTATAGAAGAAATGTTTGCAAAATATTTTACAAAAGGCTAACATCAAAGAAATAAAAATAATTTCTAAAACTCAACATTTAAAAGGACAAAGGACATACTATCTAAACACATTGCATGAAACTCTAAGAAAACAAATGAAAATACAAAAACATAAAAATGTTTGAAAACTAAGTGGAAAAAATTGTCAAAGAGTTGAGTGGATACTTATACAAGTAAGGTACATAAGGGGCCAATCTGCATTCCCATCAGTCCTCCTGCTTCAACCTTCCATGAGCTTGGATTATAGGCATAAGTCACCACACTTGGTTTAGAATGACTAGACTTCAAAACACTAGTGGGGCCAATTTTTAGGAATAACATTAACTGTCCAGAGCTTTTCTGCTCTGTTGGTGGGACTGCAAAGTTAAATGGTCCCTTTGAGAAAAGGTCTGGCAGTTTCTTATAAAACTAAATATAAATAAACCCTATCATAGACCAGTTTTGTCCCTTGATTTTTATCCAAGATAAATAAAATGATGCCCATAAAAAGGATCATGGAAGAATGCCCATAATGGTTTATTCATAATGACCCAAAATTAAAAACAATCAATGTATCTAACAATAGGAAAATGGATAAACTGTGTTTATAATGGGATACTGTATGGTACTATAAAAAGAAAAATGCAATTAATCACATGCATGCTGTCATATGTCAGGGATTTTATATGTTTCCAAGTGGAATATGTCAAAAATAAAAGCATCATTGATAGGAAGATCATGATGCATTAATAGACAAGTGGCAAACAAAATAGTAACATATTAGTAGTAAGAGATAGGTGATGGATCCACGTACTATAAAAATGCTGTTGCCATATGTTTGAAAGTTTTCATGAGGAGCCCTAAGAAGCTAGCAATAAAAGGACTGTTGGACTTGCTGTTATGAGGTCCTGTTAACATGGCTCTGTTTTTGATACTGTAAGCAAATAAGCATAAGAGAAACCTTGGAAAGGCAAGGTCTCTGGTGGAATACTGCCTCCATATCCAAAGGGATATAAGGGTTATGTAGCAGGGGTTTGTGTTTCTGATATATTTTTTATAGTAAGAAAAAGTCTTATGTCCATTTCTAGAGGTCCCATTCTAACCACTACCTGTCATTCTAACCACCTGTCTTTTCTCTTTTCACCCAACACTTTCTCCATGTAGGAATCTCCCTGCCATCCTTGACTGGGTGAAGACCCAAAAGCCTGGAGCCATGGGTGTCAATATCATCACATCTGACTTTGTGGACCTGGTGGACTTTGCCACGACTGTGATTGAATTGAATGACCTTCTAGAGGACCAAGCTCTGACTAAGTGTTGAATTAATGCTTTGTTTAATTGGATGTTGAGATTGTGGATCTAAGGTAGGGTTCTAGAGGGTTCCAGTTAGGCTGGCTCACTCCTGGGCAGTCATGGTGAAGTGAGGAAGAGAAAGAGGGGCCTCCCTGCTTTCCTCACATAGCCATTTGGATAAAACTCCAAGTTCTTTCATTGCATTTCCCCCAATGAGACTTTAAAAAATTTAAGTCTAAGGGAAGAATGCATATTTCATATGGTCAAGGCCAGAATCTACCCAATGGTTTATGGTGGCAAATGCAAGATGGATCTCAACCATCCCAGCTTCCTGTTGTCTTCTGGGGGCGTCTGAGCCTGTGTGAAGACTAAATTGGAAAGGCATTCCTGGTGAGAACAATGGAAAGGGCACATGCAAGCTCTGACCACCCTCATGGAGGTCTCTGCCATCAACCTAGAACTCTGAGGGGCTCCTAGGGAGCAAAGCACCAGGTTGTCTCTTGAACTGTACAATATCACCACTTCTCTATGAGAGCAAGATGTGTTTATAACCACACTGCTCAGCCACAGGCTGGCTCTGGAAGTGGTCCCCTTAATGCTTCATGTAAACAGTATACCTACCCTTGGCATCAGAAATGTGTTGCCCTATCTTGAAGTATTGGTTCTTTTCATTTCCTTTTGGGCCACCTCTTTAAAATGAAAGGGACAGTGGTGGGGAATCTTTTGTGTGAGGGCCCAATAAGACCTAAATATGCATGTTTGTTGCATGCCAGAATTCTTTATTCTAATTTAATCCTGTAGCTTTCTCCCCAAATGACTATCAAGCAAGCACCTGCATCATTTTGGCACAGTCTCCTTCGGGGCAAGGTCTTCACGCCTGATTCTGGAGTCACATTTTATGGTTGTCCGCTTGGGACCCAGTCTGCTGTAGGACCCCATGCTAAGTAGATGACTGCTTGTCCGTGACGTAATGGAGGCTGACCCTGGATGCGTGGGCACGTGCAATGGCATTAAAGGAGGAAGTTCCAAGCGGGTTTGGAGCCAGTCTGTAACTCCTTGCAAACAAGACTACCTCGGGGACATTAGGGTGACTTATATATCGTCAAGTGAGAAAAAAAAAAAAGCAATGCTGGAACATTTCCGCTTCTTTTTCCTTTTGGTCTTTTTTTCTCTGGGTTGTTCTAACCACCACTACATGAGGGCTTGGAAACTCAAGAGGGAATTTATTTTTAATTGATAACATGAAGGTTTTTTTTAATTGATAAGAGCCCTCTTGTTTCCTCTGCTTTGTTTCTATACTTATTTATTCATGGAGTAAGTATCTGCAGTGCTGATCGCCTCAAGAGCACTCACACAGATGTTTACTGGACTTTTCCTATCCAGGACGGACGCTGCTGTGGTCTTCCACCCACGCACTGGATGGTGCATCTCAGGGCTGTGAGTGACCGCGTTCCTTGATATAGATGTCCTACTCCACCTCAGTCCTGCTAAGGGTGGTATATAGATACGGATGTGATCTAGATCCAGGAAGCCACTGCCAAAGGCATATACACCAGGGACGGAAGTGAAAGGGTCTTGAAAAACTACACAGGCACGTCTGTCAAGCCTTGCAAAGACAGCAGCTAGGAATAACAGCTGAACACAGACATGAGCATGCTCTGATACCCCTTAGCACTATCTGAGAATCCCCAGGGAGGTGCCAGATTCCAGATTCCTAAAAAGGATTATAAACAGGCAATCCTGAGCCAAGGAATGGGCATTTGCAGAGACTCCCTCTCCTAGGAGTTTCCTATCCTTGGGTTTCCTAGTTAGATGGTGTATGTTGACTGCAGCAGGGATATCTTGGGTGAGCTACTGAAAACACTCGTATGCCCCACAGTGCTGATCATCTGGTCTTCTTTATTTTTTTCTTCCTGAAGTAATTTAGGCCTTGACTTTTTAATCTCCATAGTTCACGGAGGCCGAGCACAAACGCCTCTGGGAAAGCCTGCTTTGACTTCTCTTGTTCTTGAATTTTAATCCCTCCCAGAGGAGGCTTCTGAGTGATCTTGTCAAACTTGGTGGAGCTTTCTCTGCACAGGGCTTCCTTGTTGCGCGCGAGTGTGTGTACCCTCATCGCCATAATTTTCCATCAAATATGATTCTGAGATCTACAGAGACATTCTGGAAACCCTGGCCTACCCCCAGGGTTTTATTTTTGTTTTCATTGTCTCATTTTGTTTGTTTGTTTGTTTCATTGCTTTGTTTTGGTTTTAATTCTCCATCAGTTACCAGGGACTAGATCATTTTCCATCCCATCAACCCTTTGTTACTTGGCAAAGAGATAAGGAGGCAAGAGGAGTGCCATTCTGCTGTGTGTTACTGCAGCCTCAGCTTCATCCAGGTGCTTGGTGCTATGGGGCTGGGCGTGTCAGCGGGTATGGGGCTGTGGGTGTCAGCGGGTATGGGGCTGTGGGTGTCAGCGGGAATCTGCACTAGATACCCGTTTCCCTTTAAGGCTGCCGACTGTTCCGTGAATTGTTTACTTCGTCTCTTCCCTTTGTTCTTAAATGCACAGTTGTACCACACTTATGACATGCACCTTGATGTCTGCATGCTGCACCAAGAAGCATGACACTTCCAAGGCCACGTGTACAGCCCTGCTCCCGTAGTGAGTGCATGTACTGGCTCTTCAGGCTGCTTTGGGGTCTCGGCCTTGTTGTTATTTTGAGAGTCTGAGAGGTGGGGGCAGGGAGGATTATTCACAGTTTTCTCCAGAAATTACTGAAATCTCGGCCCCCAAGACAAAGACATCCAATGTTGTAAAGGCTGCGTGTAATTCTGTTCCTTGAAGACCAGACAGAAACTTGGGGTTGGAGAGAATAACAAGAGAATATAGGCCCCACAGCTCATTCTGCAATAGTTATGAGTAAGAATTCTGACCCAAACATGTGACATGTCCTCGAAAATCAAAATAAGTCTCTCAGATCAAAATAAGGCTCCCAAAATTGTTCAGAATCAATTTCAAGAGCAAAATGCTGCTTATTAACTCAGTTTCACAGAATTTCTACTTGGAAATTTATCCAACACAGCCATTATTTCCTTGATGGCCCAGACACTTGTAGGTTTCTGTCAGTTAAAGCAGTGTCTCAAAACTTGAACACTGAGCTTACCAGAAGTTCCAAGTGTGTGATGGGTAGAGACTGAACAGAGAGCTCAGGGTAGAGCTGATGGAAGGGGCGGTGAGTGTCTGAGGATTTGGACTGATATCATGGCAGTCTTAGAAGCCATGCAAAAGAAAAAGAAAACTTATGTTTGCTGCTTGAAATTTGATCCTCACCATTTTCTTTAGCGCTGGGTTTAGACTCCTGCATGTTGGAGAACATTTAATCTAGAGTTCAAATCCAGGGTTTTATATACATATAAAGAAAAGCACAAGACCTGAGCAGAGATAATGACAAACCTTAGGAGTCTCAGGTCTTTCATAACTTCATGTTCACATTGGAGAATGTATGCTTCTATACAACACAGCAATGGCATGAAGCATTCTGAAGTTAAATGGAGCTTTCTGATGTGTGGGGATATCCACGGGTCTTTTTTTTTCAGTCTTACCAGTGGGAAGTAATCCCAAAGAGACATGATACAACCCACCATCAGCACACAGTAGAAGGTGGAAAAGAAATCCAGGTGAAAGGAAACTGCTGTTTTATCTGAGAAGCAAAAGGACTACAAAGTGACATCATTACAGAAGTTTTATAATGCATTTGATTCTATTAAGTTCTGGGAAACAGAACAGGAGAATGAACAGGCCACAGACACAAGATCTCCTCCCTTAGCTGAACAACTGATCCTGGGTTAACCTGTCCTTGGTTCTTTCATCTTTAGCAAGGATGCAAATCTCAGTTGACTGGTTCATGCAATATATAAGGTCCTAGGGCTCAACCGGAATCCCTTGCACTCTGGGAGTGTACCTTTACAGTGATTCTTCCTTCTATACACATGTGCATTGAATATGGTTGGAGTCATTGTCCAAGACTATAGTACAGGCTGATTGAATTTGACTATGAATTATACTTTCTGGAGTCTATATAATGTGTGGGGCTCAAACAAATATGCCCAAGTGTATGTTGGCCTCTGAGAGGTGGGCTTTCTGAATATGTCCAGAGGAAACAACAGACACTGAGGTTATCAAACATCTTGGCTGACAGGATGCTGATTTGGGACAACACAGAGGAGCATAGATGGCCCTCTGGATTCCCTGTCTGTCTAGTACATCTTAACCCTCTTCCAAAGCTGCTTCCTTATAGTTGGTACCACAGTTTCATTACTCAATAGCATCTCCGTGGGACACAGGAGAGTGAAGTGACTGAATGACAAGTAGTGACAATATAAACTTCCCCTTAACTCTAGATGGTTCTAATCAGCTCTTTACTGCCCCAAGTGACTCCTATTTCCACAACCTTTGGATTCCCAAGTTTCCTGCTACAAACACTGGCACTAATGGTCATATGTCTGAGCTAACCTAACTCAGAAGCAACCCTACAATGATGCTAATGATTCTAAAAATTAGCAAAGTTTTAGCCACTGTCAAAATATTCTAAGATAAGAATATTCTGCTTTAGATACTGTGTTTTAGTATCAACTCCAGCAAACTTGTTCTTAGGATTCATCAAACCCATTTTAAAACAAAGTGGTTTGAATAACCCCTCCATTCTTTGGGAGAATTCAGAATTGTAGGCTGTTGAGGCCCTGTATCAACAGTATAGAGGTATTTTCTGTCATCTTGGAGTGCTGTTTTCTCCTGTATCCTAGCATCCCCAACCATCTGCCAATTACTGCATCACAAGATGCTGACAGAAGATACTCTTTGACTGTAGTGGTAGTTGTTTTTTTCATATTCTTAAATGCATTTTTTTGCCTCATGCTCCCACCCAGTCATTAAAACTATCTTAATTGGAGTCCTGAAATTGGGACCAATACTTAATTCAGATAGCACAGGCTTGCTCAGTGTTAAGCCCACTAGGAAACATAGCACTTTGGAAAGTCATATACATGCCTTTGGCAGCTCTGTACAGTTGCAATGTCACACTTGTTAAAAGTTTATAGCACTAATAACAAGTCACTTATAGATCTATAGAATCGAGATGATAAATCTTAGATCATATTCTAGAAACAACATTACTTGCTGCTACTAATTATTACTCCAGTGTTCATAAGTATTAAATGCAGGTTGTTTATGCATTATTTGTATTATGTATATGCCAACTATAATACTTAGCCTTCCTGATCAGTAATTTAAAATTACAGAAACTGTCATAGTGAAAATAAGTCTTGGTCAGTTCAGATAACTCATGTATCTGATAAATGCTGTAATGGAGATTATGTTTTATCTTCTGTTACTTGATTTACATTGCAATGCATGTGGTTGCTATACTTAAGAAATAATAATCAATTTTAACAAATTTAAGGTTAGGGATAAAATTGTGCATATATGATACTTGATATTCTGAAATGTATTTTGTGGCTTGTCACCTTCATACACATTTCACTTAACTTCTTTCCCTTTAGGAAATAATTGTTCAGTTATATCTCTTTTCTTCTTTCTTGTAACTTGGATTAAATCACATGATTCATCCTAAAATATTGTGAAGCCACAATACCTCATTTTAACTGTGAAAAAAGTATTGATAAGTCTGATCATATGATGTGTTTCCTTGTATTTGATTTGAGCCACTTATCAAGGTTTAATCTTAGTAATAAAAATGAACCTTTAATAGCCATGTTTCTTTGGTGTGAATGAACGTTTTCTTACTGACCTGTGTCTAACTTTGTTTTGAAGAGCTGAAGATTCTGTATCAAGAAGACTCATCTGAACTTAATCTGCACTCCCTAAGATGGACAGTGTGTGGAATGTGTGCACAGCCATGTTTACCAGGCTTCTTCACGTGTCACCCTTAGCACTTCAATCATTTCTGTTAAAGTTAGCCCAGACCTTAGTGACATCCAGAGTCCCTCTTGATCACCATCTCTGGCTCACCTAATTTGAATAATTTATGGATGCCAAAATACTCAGCAATGACCTAGCCATGCACACAATGAATAAATCAAGAGTAATCTGATGTTTCGGTTGCAATGGAGATTACTGTATTTGTCTTCTTGTAATTATTTTTTAGTGGGATACCTAGGTCTGCTTCTTTTCTTCAAACCCACTGCCCATTTTTTTGCCATATGTTTCCAAAATAATGACTTGTTATTAAAATCCTTTGTCAGAGGTCAAATTTAGTTTGAGTGGTAATGCATCTCAACAAAGTCAAATGTTGGAGCAAGTAATTAGGATTGCCAATGTGTCTACTAAAGCAACCTCTGCAATTTAAGAACAGCACCAAAATGGGATGTTTCTGCCTGTATTCGGGTGTTGCTGTAGGAAATCTGTCACACCAGCTCTGACCAACTTTCATGTGCACATGGTCAGGTATTCCCATTTATTTTTTAAAAATTTGTATTCATGTATAATGTATGAGCTGTACAAAATAACAGACTTCATCATTGTAACCTCATGTATGTGGTATGCTATGACCAGGCCCAAAGTCAGTCAAAGTGGGTATGATCTGTGTGGCATGAGTGCAGAGATATTTGTATCCTTCTTCAACTTCTGAGCAAGTACTTTGATGGAGACATTGCTTCTGTGACAAAGAAGCTCTTGCATTATGGATGGACTCTGTAATATCTAACCACAGATTAATTTCTCATTTTACTTCCAGGCTATAAGCACAGCACATGCACAGATCTAGATTCTATATGAACTCCATCACCTCCCAGCTGTGTGACCTTAGGCAAAGTGTGTATTTGAATCTCTTTGTAGAGATTTTGGTGCTGAGTAAGCATGCAGTGCTGATATTACATCCAGGGGCTATGACTTTGCACATCCACTTTCTAAATAGCAGCCAATATCGTGCCTTAATATATATGCCTGACAACACTCATGTTGACTGAATGACTTGTCAGGAACTCATCACTGAGACAAAGGTGGTAACTTTAGGCAGTGTGATCCACTTCTGGGAGCTTTGCAGCAAAAGGTCTGCATGGCCTCAGGTGCCTAGATTTAGTTCATTCTCATTCTTCCCCACCCTGATTATGGGGAGGGAAATCAACAGAGTGAAGGAAGACACTGGACACAATGACTAGGAAGTAGTCATCATCTATATTTCTAGATTCAACCACCTGAAATGGTGATTATTTCTTGGATTATACCTTAGAAGGAATTAGTGAAAATATGTTTTATTGTTGTCTAAAAAGTTATGAAATTCCTGCCCCAAATAAGTGTTGTTTACACAGTGGGACTCATTCCATTGGAGACATACATGGTAATGTGGATTCAAGGTGACCATGTCCTTAAATGATTGCCATTAACCATTTAGTAACTCCAGTCAGTTAAGAGTGAAGTCACAGCTGAGTGAGGAAACATTTTATCATCTAAAAAGAAAGACGCCGCAGGATTCAGCTAGTGTTCAATATCATTTTGCTTGCATTACATTTATTTATTTTGCCCTTTCTTTGTAAAAGTGGTTTTCCAATGAAGGTAGAAATTTCCCTTTCAAAATAGATGCAAGCTGTTTAAAGAGTACATTGTGGAGAAACTATAGGAATAACTTCCATTTCTGACTCTTTCTAGATTTCTTTGGGCAGGGGCTGCTGCTGGTGGTACCACACACTTTACCCTAGAACTGAGTTAGGCGGTGCTCTTTCTTACATACTCTTCACCCAGTAAGTACACATGTGGGCTACTATGTGAGATATGAGAAAATCAGCTCTTCTTTTTGTCAGAGGGGAACTTCATGTTTTCTGTGCAAGTCCATCTTCCACATTTGGAACAATTCATACTGGAGGGAAGCAAAGGTCTTTGTGTCAATCCCATCCATGGCCACATTGGGCAACTATTGAATGCAGAGAGCAAATCCCACTCTTTCACCCTTGGAAATGATTTCCTTCCTGTGAATTCCCAAGGTTAAGATGCCTGGAAGTCCTAGATATTTTAGTGCAAGGGTAACATTTGTTTCACCAAAAGGAATTCTTCCAACCAGCAGCATGTTTTTGTTTTCCCCTCTGCAAATCTATTCCCTGTGACCAAAGGTATGTTATTATTTTGAAGACTTTCAGTCTCACAGAGGGTGAGATGTTGCAATCTAGCGACAGTGGCTGTGTGCCTCAGACCTCACCCAGGATGGCCCGAACAAGTGTTTTCACAGCTGGCCAACGTTTGGGGGTAGCATGGAGCCTGGAGGAACGTAGAAGTGTGAGCTTCTGTCCTCAAGCATCATGTGATAGAAGGCTTAGGCAGTCAGGTGGCTTTGCCTTAAGGACCAAGCATCCAAAGAGTGGGATTTATCCTGGAGAGAAAGGTACTGAGACGCGAAGTTCTTACTGCATAAGGAGACCACTGAAACCTAATCTTTCTCTAACCGGGGGACTCAGATGCTGGGGGCCCTGAAGACTTTCTTGCTTCATCTTCATTGGGTGTTCACTCAGTCTAGGCCCAGGAGACCTTATTTTATCCCTCTGCGAAGCATAAGAGGGAGAAGATGTTAGAAAACTTATGCTAAAGTCACCAGCCATGTGGACCTACCGCACATAGAGATTAGTTCAGGAGAGCTGAAATGCTGCAAAATGGCAAAATAATGTACAAGAATCTCAGCTAAATGTGTCCATAGCTTTCACTAGTTTCTCAAAAGACTATCTATTCCTAGGACAAGAGAGATGGCTCAGTGGTTAAGGGCCTGTAACTGCTCTTGCAGAGGATCCACGTTTGCTTTCCAGCATCCATGTTGGGTGACTCAGAGGCACCTGTAACTCCATATCCTGGGAATTTGACTTCTTCTGGCCTCTGTGGGCACCACTACTCACATGCACAGACCTCCACACAGACACACATATGCTAGCACTTAAACAACAAAGCACATCTTTTAAAAACAAGGATCTATATGACCCTAAGAAGTTACAAACCACTGACTTTCGGTCGCTATCAAATGAAGTACCACTCATACTCTGCTAAGCAAATCAGTATGGCTAATTCAGACTACTACTAGAAAAGCTTGGTCTGCCCTATTGAAAAGAATTAAGACTCATGTTAAGTCGTTCAGTATAGGAATTCTGTTTTGGGAGGTAAAGTCAGAAAAAAAATCAGATAAAAAGACCACACTGAGTCTGAAAGGATCTTATGGAATAGTTAGATGGACTGTAGCAAGAGAGGAAGCAGGCTCACTGGAGGATATGGCAAGGTTTGGATGCCTTGTACAGTTTGGACATCACCTCGCAGGAGGTGAGTAAATCAGAACTCTCCATGAAGCATAGCTAGAAGGAAGGATCCAGAAGTTGTAGAAGATGGGTAGTGTGGAAAGGAACTATAAAATAGAAACTTGATGTGGATATCTCTAATGTTCTGAAGTTATTACATGACTTAGAATTAAGATTGTTGTTTTTTAAATTATTTTATGTGTATGGGTGTTTTTGCCTGTATGTCTACACAAAATGTGCATGCACAGAGCCTGTAGAGGTCAGAAGAGGGCAGCAAATCCCCCTGAAACAGGAGTTACAGATGGCTGTTAGCAGCTGTGTATGCTAGGGATCAAACCTGGATCCTCCGAAAGTCCAGTTCTCTTAACTGCTGAGCCATCTCTCTGGCCCAGATTTCACTTTCAAATTTAAGAGTTTTAAGATTTTAGATGTAGAGAGGGTGAAAGAACACTCATGCCAGGCGAGACTCTCACAAAAAAACAAAACAAGCAAAACCTGATTAGCTGAAGCCCAGGCTCTGTGTCTTTTTCTGGTGTAGTTTCTCACCATGCCAGCTACCTCCTCTGGCACCATGGGTGCAGGGATTAACCAGGGCAGGCTTTACCATTTAAAAAAAATGGAGACTGGCTGAATAAGAGCATTCCCTGGTGAGAGGATTGTAAGAGACTATCACTAAACAAGGCGTGTATCATCCGCTGAATTGTCTCTTGCCACACAAGTTACACCTAACTTGGTAACTCAAAACAATACAAATTCGTTATCTTGCAGGTCTCAAGTCAAAGGTTTAAAATGAGTCACTGAGACCATGTTCTCTCTCACGGTCCTTAAGGAGGACCCATTTCGTTGTCTTTCCAGCAGTTAGAAGATGTCTACATTCCTTGATTCAGTATCTATTTGTCCATCTTCCAAGCTAGTAACATTTCATGTTTAGTATTTGACTCTACCTCTGGCATCACATAGCCTCTTATTTAACTTCTTATAATTATACAAGATTCCACTTAAATAAACTACAATAATCTTCCATCTCAAGATCCTTAATCTATGAGGCCATACCTTTTACTAAGGACCTATAAACAGTTGATGACTGCTGAGAGATGAAAGACATTTTCTTCAATGGTGCAGCTACTGGTGAGTTGTCCATGTTCCTATAAGTAACTCTAACTAAATTGATTGACACATGCAACACACATACACACACACCTAACACACTCAACAAGATCAAGTTGGCAAAGCCTATGTTTTACCATGTATGGTAACATAGTCACAGGTTCTGGGGACCAGGCCTGGATACCCTCAGGAGATATTAAGCAGTCTATTTCAGACGGTTTCAGGGAAGATTGCTGCTGGCCTTGCTTTCAGAGCAGATCTGGTTCTAATCCCAGTTTTAGCACTGCCTGCTGGTTGTGTGCCCATTGCTCCATTGAGCCTCTGCTCCTTCACCATAAAATGGTGGTAAAATATATGGTAATATATGTAACATATACCACATTTTCAACACATACAGCCCTATTTCTTCACAGAACTGTAAGATGATTCTAAAAAAAATCAAAGAAGAAATCCTATTACTAACTTGGAAGTTTAATAAAAGATCCTCCAGATTCCTTCCTGAAGCTTTCCTTTCTCATGGAGATTTTTCTTGAGGCCTCTTGTCCACAGACTCTGTGACAAGGTAATTACTTGGATAGTCAACAGCTAGTAGGGTCTGCTTTCTGCCACCACCTCCTTCCTGGTCCTGCTCTCTGGTTCTGTCTCACCCAGCTCTATGGTTGAATTTGAGTAGGTCTGGTGTGTATTGATTGGTTAGGTCTGCAGCCAAGACCAACAGACTCCTTCCTTCACATCTGTTCACACTCCTGACCGTAAGCAAGTTGCTACCTGTGACCAGCAAGGAAGGAGAAAACAGGGCCGCATCGCTTTCTTGCCTGGGGAAGAGTGGAAGCCTGTGTCGATGCTTCTTGCCCCAGCCCCGGACTGCAACTGAGTGAAGAAGCCAGGAAAGACTTTGGACAGGAAAGCAACAGTGGAGGTAGGTAACTACCCAGCTTGTCTCAAGGTCACAGAACAAACAGCTTGCCTCACCTCATGACTAGGATGTCTTGGACAATGGCCTGTTGAAGGAGAGGTGATAGATATCAGTGTGGGACAGCATAATTCAGTTACTTGTCCATTAACGTATTCTGTAAAGCCGACTGTATGTCCTTCCCTCTTCTCTCCTCTGTAAGCTGTCGATCATTGCATGTTTCACGTTTCGCTGAGACGTGTTTTTTGTCTTTCATCATAGGATATGGTATTTGTGATTATTGACACGTTTTCGTTGATGATAGTTCCACCTACATAGCTCTTTGCTCCAGAACTTTACTTCCATGCTTCGTTCTACTTGCAGATATACCAGAGGGAAGGTGCATGTAATTCTGAGAGACATACTGTTCATTCAGAGGGCTTTTATCTCCAAGTGACAGAATTTCTCAGGAAATCACATGTGTTATCCTGCTTTGGATCCTAAGTGGTTAAAAAGGCCGAAAATTCCTGGAGCAGAATCAAGTGTGTTTACCTAAGCTTGTCACCAGGGCAGCTTGTCAATCATTTACTGACTCAGTGCTGTCTCCTACCCTTAAACGAGACCACCAAAGTCCTTGCCTAACAGAGTGCCTACCCCATAGAACACATGCATGGTTGTATAGACGGTATGGTCTGACACCAGAGCCCATAGGCCTTTTTAACACCTAAAATACTTGATTCTTTCCGGAGTGGTAAACACCCCAAGGCCCCTATCAGCCCAGTGATTCATTAACTCGATCAAGACTCACACACAGACCTGATGCCTAGTTTCACCTCAAGCGTAGGAGGTTGTGGCTTTGCAAAGAGCCTCATTTGTTACTACCCAGGAAAGATAGTCTACTGATCCAACAAGATATTAACTGTTTCTTGGAAGAGAACAATATCTTATAGAAATAAAGAAGATGGGGTAGAGACTCCCTCAATTGTACACATTCCAGAAACTCTGTTTTTAACAAATATAGCCCAGTCTTCTTTAGTCTGATTGTAACTCCACTAGTTGCAGAAGTGGCATGTCACTGCTGCATAGACCTGTAATGATTTCCACCTCTGACAATTATTAGTCAGGTGGTTAGTGGCAGGGAGGCCTGATTCTTCTGAACTCCACTTAGGGAGCAGATTGGGCCATACACTAAACAAAGTAATGTGTGATACTCATTTGGTCAATCATTTACGGCTACAATGTGAATCCCCTCAGGTGAAGTTTGTGACTTGAATTTTTAGTGGCCTTGATGGTTAATTAGATGCAGGAATTGAGACCACTGCAGACATTAAACCCAACTTGGGATTTGGAGGAAGCTTGAGCTACCTCTCAGGGACATCTTGGATAATGATGAACTGAATTCTGTGATGATGCCCTGCAAAATGTTAACTGCATCTCTAGCTACAACCTTGAATGTGTCTATAAATAGCACATGTGACAGAGGCAGGTTTGAAGAAGGAATAGGTTTCAGGGCATTCAAATATACTGGCTAGATTCATCCATGGTGCTGTAGGCTGCCTTCCAGGTCTCCCGTGTCCTTTCTGTGTAACATCAAGCTCATACTGGAAGGTCAGTGAGGCTGATCTGGATTTTGTGTATACTGGATATTAGCAAGGAGGAGATTATTGTTGAGAGCGAGTGACGTAGGATAGGCACTGCCATTCTTTTCACACATTAGGAAGTTAAAACCATGGAAGTTAATTAATTTTTTCCATGGTAATTCTGTGGTCAGAGATGGAGCCAGAACTGGACTCATGTCTGCCTTGTTCTCAGTATGTTGTCTTTCTGATGAGTCATAGAGTTGAGCACACAGAGTAGCATAATCTAGAGTGTCAAGCCAGCATGGTAAACAATGCTCACCAACACAGATTCTGCACTGGTCCCTGGTTGTACCCTTCCTGAGATCAGTTGGGTGCCACTACAACCAAAAGGCACAAGCAGTGGACTACACACTTTTTTATGGCAGGTAAAGGAAGAAACAGGCAGGGAGAAAAAGGAAGTATGGTCTAGTGAACTCGGTTCATCCTGAGGTTAGGACTCAGCCCCTTTCATTTCATGCCATTCAAACCCCTTGTCCCTAATGTAAATGTAACACCAGAAGATGAAATGATGTCACCATATCTCTGGAAACTCAAGAGTTTACCAGCTTATGCATCCCAGCTAATGCCCACTCACCTAAATCCAAGGAATTTAGTAGAGTGAGGCTTTAGGCAGGAACCATTAGCAACCCATTCTATCAGGACTCCAATATCTACAACTACACAGACCCACGTGGGCTTGGGGTCTGAGTGGCTTATTGTTTAAGAAATAATTGAGTACAGCAACAAGTCTTCTTTTGCCCTCCAATCCCAGGTTCTGTTAACCTCACATTTATCTTAAAAAATGTGGTTACCTGTCTGGCACAAATTCCAAGGCAACCACAATTCCCAGTGTTTACACAATTAATATAAAGACAAGTCATCATGAAGTGTGGTCAGTTAAACACTGTTGAACAAAGGGTTTCTTCTTTTCGCTGCCCTGCCCATGCACAGCTCAAGAATATGGCAACAAAGGCCTTACAGGTAACGATTTGTATGTGAATCACCATGGCCACCTCCTTAGTCAGTTGGGCCCACATGAACCTTAGCTCCTGTGCTGTCATTCTTACCTAAAACATCAGAGGAATCAGAGAAAGCTGAAGTAGGAGGACAATGTCTCAGAAAAATTGTCAACCTGTGCTACACGCTAGATGAAGAAATGATAAGATGCCATTTACTAACCTTGTTTAGTAAATAAAACAAACCTATATAACTTGCCCAAATCACAGATTCATAAGCATAAGGTATCCTTTGAGTCAGGATGTATCTGGTCTGAAAGTCTGTATTCTGTGCCACCGCACAATAGGAGCTATGCTCTGCCCATCGCCAGCGTAAAGGCGTGAAGCGTCCTTTTCAAAAGCATTTACTTGGCTCCTCAGAGATGATATTTGTTCCCCTTCTCTATCCTCCATCAAATATTTTTGACCATGTAGAGGTAAAGAGCCCTCCCTCCTAGGCAAATGCCATAAAACAAACAACAATGCCTACAGATCGTATTGTGATCCCTTTGAGAAGCTGTGACAGATATTCATTCTGACCTTTGTCACACTCCTCTGTTTGCTTATTTGGTTAATTTTAATGTAATACAGAGGAAACGGAAGTTTTCATTTATTGTCACTTAGTGAGTGTGGTGACAAGGGCTCTGACATGCTGGGAAATGATTGACCATCTTTGGCTCTCTACAAGATTTTTTACAAGTTGATTTCCGTGGTCACATTGGTCGCAAAGAAAGCTCCACTTTTCCAAAACTTTCTTTCCTGTGTGTCAGTTGTTTTATTTAATGCCATAACAGCCATTTGAGATGAGCACTGTATTCAGGTTATATGCTTCCAGTCCTACTGAGAGCTTTCCTGTCTCTCTCAGTTAACAAGCCCCATGGGGCTTGAACCTCAAATTTCTCTCTCTCTGTCTCTCTGTCTCTGTCTCTGTCTCTCTCTCTGTGTGTGTGTGTGTGTGTGTGTGTGTGTGTGTGTGAGAGAGAGAGAGAGAGAGAGAGAGAGAGAGAGAGAGCACACATGCAAACACTCATGCTATGGAATGATTCTTCTACATGCTTAAAGCCTACAAATGGGAACAGTGGAGCCTTCAGCTATTTTCAGCCCTGAAATGCCAAATGTTTGGTTGCACAACCTGTTCTCAGGCTATAGAGACCCATTCAAACAGCAGTTCTCTTACTTTTGGCTACAATTCTATCAGGTCAGAGCTATAATGCTGTTACTCTAATTAGATTTTGTGGAGTAATGAAAACAATGGCAGTAATTGTTACTTAAAATCTAAGGACCAAAGTCTTTGCCCTTGTGCAAATTAAGGCATCATTGGAGTTCATGCCAGAAATAAAGAAATAAAGAAAAACACTATCCCCCAATCCATGTCCCTTGAAGTAGTTCACATTGGTAAGGGTGAGAGACCCACTAGTATCTCCACATGGTTACCTTCTGGTTGACCTATCAAAGAAACATATTCTCAGAGTTGCAACGGTTCAGGAGAATCAATAAATTTGAGATAAGCAATAGAGAGAATGAAGCGCCTATCCTGGTCCATAAAAGCTTCAAAATTGTTGCATTCCTGTCTCTAATTTCCAGCTCAATTTTCTTTATAAGAACAATAAAGGAACTGATGTAAAAATAATAATCATAATAATAATTATTAACAACAATTTATCAAAGTCTGGAGAGCTTCCCAGAATGTAAAATGAAGATGAGATTTTCACAGAAGACCTCAATCTGTATTTGAAGGCAGGATCCAGTTTAAGTTTCTCTATACACTGTGGCAACTTTCACAAAGTCTTTTAATTTATTTTTATATATAAAGCCAAAACACTACCAAAAATACTTCTTGCAGAGAATTCTCACTAAGCTGGGTGATCTTTTGACATGGCTGGATTGCTGTTTTAGAGGGTGTATTTCTTAAGAAAAACCTTGGACAGTGCCTTTGGCTGGTGCTCCAGTGAGTTTCTGAGGAAAGAGGGCTTTCATCCATGGAGCCACTTTGTGGTGATCTCATTTGGTTCCACAGGATGAGCAACTGAGAGTTTGTGGTTTGGATGCCAGTAGATTGCTAGAGGAGGGAAAATACAGAAACCGATGAGAAGAATTCGCAAGGAAAATGTGTGTGTGTGTGTGTGTGTGTGTGTGTGTGTGTGTGTGTGTGTGTATTGCAAGTCCTTGACAACCTAAAACCTGAGTATGATTGATTCTGCCAACTCCAAAGAATGACTCCTCAACTTCAAACTCCTGGATTCCACAAAATCTAACTTCTAGCAAGCGTGAACATAAGCAGAACTAATTCCCTGAATCTGGTTGGCCTCTTGTCATGCATCTACCTACAATATGGAGATTCTTCATTCTCTCTAGACATATTTTCATAGTAGATAATACTGTTGGTAACTTGCCAGATAACAGAAGCACATGCAGCCAAAGTCATCCTTATTCCAACTCATTGTTTTTCTATCTAGACTTGTGCTAAGACTTCTTTTTGGTGTCTAGGTTTAAGTATTTACTTGTGTGTGTCTTTAGTTGAATAATCATAAACATCTGTTGATGAGTTATGCTAAGTTTGCCAGATGAAATCTGTTAGATATTATTACTAAGAATAATTTTGCAGTCACATGGTGACATATGACTTTAATCCTAGTATTGAGGAATCAGAGGCAGGAGGATCTCTGTGAGTTGCAAGGGATACACAGTGAGATCCTGTTTCAAAAACAAAGTGAAAACAAAAATCAAAATTTGGTATCTATCACATATAAGAGTTTCAACTCAATCCTTGCATAAAACCCCAGACTCAGAGCTCTCTCTCTCTCTCTCTCTCTCTCTCTCTCTCTCTCTCTCTCTCTCTCTCTCTCTCTCTCTCTCTCTCTCTCTCTCTCGTGTATAATTTTAATCACTAGTATGGCATTTTTTAATCACTAATCCTGAATTTTTGGGGAATCTCAGCAAATATTTGTAAATAGTATTAAGAGGCAACAACCATGACTTTAGCAGAGAAAGTGCTTTTTAAAAATCACCTAGTGATGGGATCAAAAGTGGCACATGCCTTTGATCCCATCACTTTGCAGACAGAGGCAGATGGATCTCTTTGAGTTTGAGGACGGCTTGGTGAACAGAGACTTCCAAGTCATCCAGAGTTACACATGGAAGCGCTGCCCAGAAGAGGAAGAGGAGGAAAAGAAGGGTGGAGAGAGGGGAGGATGACAACATTGGAAGGCCAGTAAGATGGCTCGTTGCTATTTCACCTCATGATAAACATACAAAGTAGAAGGCTTTAAAGTTGGAGGAAACTGCTACACAGCACAAGTCATCATTGGTGAAGTGTCATGCAAATAACTTCTCATCTATGCTAGTGCACAAAACCCTGCTGAAAAAGATGTGAAGATAGAAGGGGCACTGACTAGGAAGTAGGAAGATGAAAAGGATCAGCAGGAGGGGAACAAGAGAGGGTACTGAGGGGCATGACCAAAACACAGTATACATATGTATGAAAATGTCATTACGAAACCCATTATGTATAACTAACATATGCTTATACATACTAATACAAACATTAGTAAGTATGGAAATTCTTTTTCTTTTCACATTTTATTTTAGAATTTAAAACATTCATTATAATAATTATCTTCTTTCATTCTCACTTTGTAATTAAATTAACATTTATCTACTGATCACAGCTAGGAATCAAGAACTAAAACTATTAAGCAAGCTAGGTAATTCTATCTTGTTATTGTTAATCATCATCTAATCTATATCATATATCTGTCAGTCGTGTGATAACCTTTTCCCTAATTATTCTGAATAGTCAGGGAGAAAAAAGCAAGCATGGGAGCCAAGTGAACAAAGACTTATCTTTTATAATGTAGGGACTAGACACTTAATCTCCTCTCAGTTATACAACCAAGGGCTGTATCCAAGGCTAGGATTGCATTTTATTACTACTAAAACTAAATTTGTTCACTGACAATTGCAAACATGTGTCAGATGCATTCTGATTGCTCTCACGCCCTATCTCTCAGATCCCCCTCCCAACCCTACCAATGCCCCTCCTCCTATGCTCATGCCCTTTTCATTGGGTATCCACTGGGAGCCCACCAGTTCTGTTAGATAATTCTAAATCCATGGTCACACAAACAGAACTGATAGGTTTCCAGTGGATACACAACTGTAATCAACGACTCACGGCCCCAGGATCCGTAAGTAGCCAATAGTTCATGAAGGAGAGGTAGGATCCTATAAGCTTATCTAAGATCCATGACTGCCTACTGACAAGCCCGGGCTTGTACAGGCCTGGTGCAGGCAACCCTTGCTGTTGTGAGTTCTGGTTTGCAATGGCTGTGTAATGCCCAGCAGATAGTATTTTGCAGTCCTCTCTCCCACCTTCTGACTTACATTCTTTCTGTCCCCTCTTCAACAGTGTTTCCCTAGTTTGGGGCCAGAGGAGCATAAATGCCTTGTTTAGAGCTAAGCACTCAATGGTCTCTTTATTCTCAGCACATTGAGCAGCCATGAGCCTCTCCATCTACTGACATTTATTGCAAAGAAGCTTCTCAGATTAAGGGTAGGGTTCTCCCGTGGTTATAAATGTAAGTAATTAGCAAGCGATTTGTCACCATATTCGTTTAGCTAAACAACTGTAGTAAGTTCTCCCGTAGGGCCTAAGTATCGGGCATGGATTCCCTTCTATGGAGAAGGCATGAAATCTAATCAGAGTGGCTGCTTTCACCCTCATAAATATATGCTAACTCATGCAAATAAAATCTTCACATAAAGAAAATATGGAGCTTCTGAAGAGCTGTCTTGGAGAAATTGACCGCTCTTGGAGAAGACTCACATGGTGACTCAATTTCCCAGAGCTCCAGTTCCAGGGGATCTTATACCCTCCTCTGGCCTCTGCAGGCTCTGCCCACACATAACTTCCTGCAAGTGAACACAAATTCATAGAAATAAAATCAGCAAATAAATCCCCATGTCCTAGATAAGTAATTCTGTACATGCCATGCACTGGGGAGGCTGGCCTCACCCATCTTTGTAAAGAAGGGGCCCTTTCAGCTGTGAGAGTGCGGTGAGTCACACGTGAGTTCACATCCGGCCGAAACCTGGCAGTGATGCTGAGCTTTGACTCTCATGTGTCACAAATGAGCGCTTCAGAGAGCAGCCGTGACTGTCATTTTCCCCTAATAAACAGCAGCTCTTACAGGTGACACGACTTGCCCGAGGGTAAAGAAACATGGCAGCGAGTCAGTTGGAACCTTGTGTATTTTAGAGGGGGCAGAGGGTGATGTGAGCAAAATGTGGACGAGTGTGGGTCTGACCCTTGTCCCTCTGAGGAACAAAACCATGATGGAGGGCTGAAGAAGACTCTCCTCTCGATTCCGAGACCACACTTGTCCCCCTGGCCTGTCTGAGCCCAGGCAGCTGCCTCTCCCAGGCTTACTCAGCCAGCTTACTGCTGACTTAAGTCTGAGCTCCTGTTCCTTCTTGTAAGCTCCATGAAAGGCTATTGCAACGAAGCACAGCACATCACGGAAGTGAGAACACATCAGAGATCTTCCCCAAGGGCCAGGCTGAAAGGGCGGTTTGCTTTGGAGATGTTCTGATTTCTCTCTTATAATCTGCAGAAATGAAGGGCATCGTGATGACTAGCAGGGCTGTGATATCCTATTCAAGCACTGCAACTCCCTGCTCACCCCTCCCCCCCCCCCGGGGGCGTTGTTTCATTCTATGCTCTTTTTCTTCCCCCAAAAAAGGAAGGCTTGGTGCTTGCTCATTAAGGCACTGTGAGTTAGTTTCTTTTCCTGTTGCTGTGATTAAATACCTTGACAAAGTGACATAAAGGGAGGAAGGCTGTTTCGGGCAGTTTGCTGGATAGTCCAGCAGCACAGTAGGCGAGTCAGGATGGCAGGAGTTGGAAGCAGCTGGTCACATTGTATCCACAGTGAGGAAGCAGCAAAAAGGAGAAAGCTGGCTAGTACTCAGCTAGTACATAGCCATTGCTATGATCAAATACCAAGATCAAAAGCTACTTGGGGCGGAAATAACTTTATTTGGCTTACACTTCCACATCATTGCGCATCACTGAAGGAAGTCAGGACAGGAACTTGGGCAGAGTAGGAATCTGGAGGCGGGAGCCGATGCAGAAGAGAAGCCATGGAGGATGCTGCTTACTGCCTTGCTCTCATGGCTTCTTCAGCCTGCTTTCTTATAGAGCCCAGGACCATCAGCCAAGTCATGGCACCACCCACAATGGGCTGGGCTCTCCCAATCAATCACTAACAAAATGCTCCAATGGTTTGCCTATACTCTGATCTTTTTTTTAGAAGTTTTTTATTATTTTAATTTTAAATAGCTTGTTTACATGTCAATCCCAGTTCCCTCTCCCTCCCCTCCTCCCATCCCCCCATCCTCCCACCCTATTGCCAATTTCTTCCACATAGGGGATATCTAGAGTCTGTCATTTCACTCAGGGTAGGGTCCAGGCACTCCCGTAAGAGTCCAGGCTGAGAGAGCATCCCTCTTTGTGTTATGGACACACGATGTCTGTTTGTATTGGAGGGATAAACACTGATCCACTGCTCAGGGCCCCATAGGTTGCCCAGGCCTCCTCACTGACTCTCACATTCAGGGGGTCTGGATCAGTCCCATGCTGGCCTCCCGGTTGTCCGTCTGGGGTCCAAGAGCTCTCCCCTGTTCAGATCAGCTGTCTCTGCTGGTTTTGCAAGCCCATTCTTTGCCATTTTGCTTATTGCTCCTCTCTCTCTGTCGCAGGGTTCCTTGGGTTCAGCTCAGTGTTTAACTGTGGGTATTTGCCTCTGCTTCCATCAGCCACTGGATGAAGGCTCCAGGATGGTTACAGACATCAAGTTCATTATCAGGAATGGGCATTCGAGGTGGTCTCTCCACTATTGCTTAGCTTGCCAATTGGTGTCATCCCTTTAGATCACTAGAGGTCACAATGGTGCCTGATCTGTCTTCTAACCTATGATTCCCTCTTCCCCCTATCCTACCCCCCCCCACTCAACCTTCAAGCACAAACAAGAAACCTATACTCTGATCTTATGCAGACAT